GGCCCCGGGAGCGGCGCGGCGTGCGCAGCTGTAGCCGGGGCCCTGACAGCGGGCTTACGGCGACAGGCGCTCGTTACACGGGTGCCCCGTAGTTTCCCGACCGTCACGTTTCTTTGCCTTTAACCTTCGTGGCATCTCCCGATGCCTGCGCATCCAATAGTTCCGTTTCTGCAGGCTTGTACAACGAAAGGGTATGATTTCTGCACGGACCGCTAGCACTCGCCAGCTGGAGTATCATAAAGATTACCATCAAAACCCAATTATAGGAGACCACTTTGTGCCAGATTTGACTCCCGCGTACCTCAGGAGCCGTTAAAAACCTGAAGGTACTTCATTCCCAGTACAGCAGCTTGTAAGAAACACGATCCAGCCGGCTATACTGCCTCCCTCCAGAATTACTCTGAATGTTCTGCTTACTTTCAAATGCAAGAAGCTTAAAGTGATTAGAGCTACTCCTGTGAATTATTTAGCTATTCAGTAGGAAGCTAAAGGCTTTACTGTAACTTTTTATCAGACAGACTTGCTCTAAAATATTGATCACAACAGATGTTATACCTTGCTGAATCCCGAACTGGGATTTAGAAAACCCACCCACTGATTTTTTGGAACTGATTATGCTGTTGTGCTAACAGTGGGTATGAGCGGAGTGTTTCCACTTCAGGGAGACTGCAGCAAAGATGCTTCTAGAAAAGCAGAAAAACAGTATTAGAGGACAGGCTAACACCTTCGTCATGTGCAATGCTGAAGGCATGGGAGCAGAGGAGACCTGGCACTGTACCAGCTCAAGCATAACGTGGTAAAATGTTCCAAAAAGATAAGAAATAAAAGGAACTTTCGCTTCTTTGTATGTCAACAGATGTCTGTAGCAAAGGGTAGATGTCTCATTTTCTTGGCAGTGGTCAGATATTGTCACCTTGGAAATCGCACATCCAGCAAATCCTGCAGTGGGCAAGAGACAAAAAGGCCGGGAGAGGAAAGAGAACAGCACTAGAAGTAAGAGGCCATGGGGTCTAGGAAGCAGGAATCTAACAATACCAGGTGTTAATTCCTGCTTCTGCCAATGAGTCACTCACTATGTGACCACAAGTCATTTAATCAATGTATGTCTCATTCTTGATCTAGAACAGGAAGAACATTCAAAAGGAGATTGCATTACTCAGCTAATTAGTCAACACAAACCAGAGGCCTGCGCAGCTCTTGCGCAATTAACTGAGGGTCAGTAACAGAGAACGCTTCCCGGGTGTTTCTGTTTCCAGCACTGATGCTGGCATGCTGCAAGTCCCCATGCCAAGAATTGTTGAGGTAGGAGAAACACCTTCACATTATTCTGAGACACACAGAACTGACTGACTGAAAATTAGCTTTAGAAAGCAACGCATCCACATAAAGACTGCAATTTTGACTGACCCTGTGCTGTTAGGAAAATTGGATCTGGGTCCAGACACCTCAGTAGGGTTTATATTCAATCCACCCCCACCTGAAGCTCTTGGGAGCAAACTTTGTTGCTCATCTCACATTCCCAGTCTGAAAGCAGAAGTTCTCCCTTGTTCTGGTCTGACATAGCCCTAGGGGATTTTTTAGGGTTTGGTTTTTTTTTTTTCCCCCCCTGACAGGCTCTAAAGATGGTAAAGAAGCCAAGCAAAACATGGCCCAAGCCATGCTGGACCACATCAGCCCAGCAACAGTTTTCTTGCAAGACAATTGCCAAGTCTAAAAGTGGGACTGTTGGCCCTATAAGGAATATTGGAGCTAAGCAAGTATGCTTTACAGAAAAGAAATGTGGCTAAGTCCATCTTATAAGGAGAGGTTCAGGAGCAGAACAGCTTGCAGGGCTGTCCTTGGCAGTGGAGACTGTGTCTTCCACCCTACGGGGAACATCAAGAGGCAGCTCACTAGGGCACAGGGAAATGCAGCTTTATCTGCTTGTTCAAACCCAGCTGCTTTCCCGGCTAGCCACACGGGGTTCCTGCCCTCTCATTTTCCTTTGCTTAATTAAGCTGCACTGTGCTGGAGCTGCCACTGACCCAGTTCCCAGAGGCCCTCCTGCTCCCTTCGTTAACTCTGAAGGGTGGGAGGATGTCGCAGATGGAAAGTCCCTTCCAAGGGACAATGGGAAGCTTACTCTCACTTTCACTCTGGATTGTTAATCAGTGACCCTGCCTTCACCACAGGCTGATCCACCCATCTGTGGAATGCTATCCAGTACCAGCCCCTTCTTAAACTTTTTTTTTCCAAAACTTTCCCCCCCCCCCCCCCCCCCCCCCCCAAAAAAAAAAAAAGATTATGTAGCTTGGATAGGATTTACCCTATTCCCAACTGTTCGCCCCTTTGCCTGTACACCCCATCACCTGATAATTTATATATACATTGCAAATGCGTTAGGATAGCAGTATTTTCTTTGTTCTGTGTTTGTACAGCCCTTTGCACTTTATGTCCCTTGTGCAGGACTCGGATTCCTGTGCATTCCAGCAATAAGGAAACTAACAGAGCTATCACTATGCAGGACAAAAAAAAAAAAAAGTTCTGGTTTGGAGTGTCTGATTTTACTTTCCATTGTCACAGCCAAGTCTGTAAAAGCATGGAAGGAAAGCAGCCAACCAAGTGATCTGATTTCTACAGATATGTGAAGGCCACAGGAGAGCTGGCTGCCACCTCATTCAAACCCTTCTCCAAGCCTATCACAAGGGATGCTCTGCTTGTTCATTATATTTCAGCAAGAAGCACCACCAGTTCACACAAGCTTTCCAGAACATGAGGCAAATCAACAGCAATGGCAACAATACTTGTTCACAAGAAGGCAAAGGTCAGTATTTCTACCTATACTTTTGCTGCTGTGAACAGGTACTAACTTGAAAATCAATTTCTGCAGCAGAGTCTTTTCTGTGGTCTGCTGCCTTTCCTATCTCACGCCTAGAGCATGCAACGGCACACTTTTCCAGGCTTTGCTGGTGAGAGATTTAGCACACATGGTCCTAAACAGACTACGTCCTGCTGGGCATAGAGGAGCACAGGAGGCATTCCAGTTGCACATAGAAACTTTGTTCTCAGCTTTTAAATATCATCAGGGAAGCAGAAAACCCCTCAGAAACTTCAGTGTTTTCAAAGAAAAGCTGGGGCAAATGGTCAAGCTTCCTACAACTAACTAATCAGATAGAAGCAGCAAAACTCCAAAACCAGGAAACCCAGCAAAAGCCTGAGATCTTCTGGGATAGTTGATAATCAGGGGCTTTGCTCTAACCGCAGACAACACTTGTATGAATCAAAACGGAATGCCAACTCTCGTCACCCCTCCACCCTTTGGAAGCTGAGCGCCTAACTTGTAATTATGTAAAAACCTTCCATCCCTTCCTTCCTATCCCATCATCCTGTTTCTGGGGATATCCCCCTTCATGAAATGATGCTGCAGCATCCTCTGAAGCAGGCTGTTTCATTTTCAGCAGTATTTATATTCAGACACAAGCCCTATGTTTCCTCTTGCTCCTCTCAGGCTGCTGCTCTGGCTGAGCAGCAGCATTTGCTCTTATGCCCTGCCTGCCTGAACTGGAGACAAAGTGCAACAGAGGGCCACCAGCATAAATCCAAAGAGAGACCGAACTGCCCCATGTTACTCTTAACTAACTCTCCCTTTCAAACTCTCCATTATGCTTGTGCCTGACTGCTCAGGCAGAATAGGGGCAAGCTGGCCTCATGCCAAGACCAAAGCAACTGCTGTGGTTTTGTGTTCACAGCACTTACCTGATTCTGTAGTTTGCTGAATATTTTCCCATCCCAGACCCTTCGCTCTGTGTGGCAGATAAGAAAAAAAAGCCTCCAGTTCAGGAAAAGCAGGGAACACGTGTGAGAAACTCCTGGCTGTCTCCGAGGTTTTTCCCTGCCTGGCTATTCCACTGAAGCCATTCACCTGAGGTTTTACTGTTTGTTTCATTAAAGTGTTTAACTCCCTTCCCCACGCCCTGGCAGTAGGAAATCTTTGATGCATCTCAGCCCTTCATTCTATCCTAGACGCTGAGGATGCTGCTGTCCTAGTCTTGCCAGCCCCAGCTCTCAACAAATGACCTCAGTGCACACAGCTCTTTCCTAAGACAGGTCAAAGATGTCCTTTCCACAAGCTATTGCAAATTGTCCCTTGACTCCTCAGAGCTGACCTAATCATACCAGAGCAGAAACTGGGATTTGAGCTCAGACTGCTGCTGATAAAAAGCTGCGCATTTATTCATCGACTAGAAAAGCTGCATTGGGTCAAAACAAAGACCTGTCTCCCCCAATATCTGTCTTCAATAGTGGCTAATAGTAGATGCCCAGGAGGGAATATAAGACTGGTTGAATGTATAGTAGTATGCCTCAGTCCGTGTCTTACACAAATTCTCTCTCATCTCATTTTGAGCCCATGTAAACTTTCAGCACCCACAGTCTCTCATGGCAGAATGCCATGCTACACAGGGCATGAAGTTGTTTGAACCTACCATCAGCTAATTTAATTTGAATCCCTAGTTCTTGTATTGGAAGAGACAGGGAACAATCAATTCTCATTTACTTTCTCAAGGCCACTTGGGATTTTATAGATCTCCATTGAATTGTCCCTTAATCATCTCTCCTGCAGGCTGAAGAACCACCCTGCCAGGAAGGGCTGCCTGGCCGGCGATTTGAGTTGGGGAGAGGTGCCACCATCCCAGACTCGGCTGCAGCAGCTCCTCTGCTGTGATGTCTCTGCCACAGCTGCATTTCTAACATCCAGTTCCTCACCTGCTCACCTCACAGGTCCTGCCTCTCTCAAGTCCTTCTTTAGGTTAGCTAACCTTTGGCAACAAAGGAAATCGCTGCTGCAGATGTGGTCTTGCTTTCCCATGCACCCCACTCAGAGTATGAATTAATGCACTTAAGGCCAAGATGAAAACAAATTCACACAGGCAGATAACAAGCTCTTAGTGCTGAGAAAAAGAGAAGTCTCATGTGTGAAAATATCCTAATGCAAGAATTAAGGTTTTTTTCTTTCTTTTGAAAAACTCAAAATAATAATAGTAAGCACTAGAGGAGCTGGCTGATTTACTTTCACACCTGCTCCTGCTTTCTTAAAATCCCTGTCTGCCTGCTTACTCCAGGCACCCCGTGCAGAAAGCCATAATTAAAAACATGTTGGGGGTCAGGAAAGGGAGGAAGACCAAGCACTGAGTCTTAAAAAAGGCTTATTTGAGAAAAGATTCAGGTGGAATTTTCTTTTGTCAAGAC